TCCACGTAGACCTCCATGGTTTTGCCAATGAGTTCGGCAAACATCATGTTGACTAACCTCTGATATGTGGCCCCGGCATTTTTCAATCCGAAGGGCATGACTTTGTAGCAATACAGCCCCCTGTCCGTGATGAATGATGTAGCTTCCTCATCAGGTCGGAACATGGGTATTTGGTTGTACCCCGAGTACGCATCCATGAAGCTAAGTAGTTCATGCCCAGCAGTGGAGTCGACCAGTTGATCAATTCTTGGAAGTGGGAAGCTGTCCTTGGGGCATGCCTTATTCAGGTTTGTGAAGTCCACACAGACCCTCCATTTCCCGCTGGACTTTTTTACCAGAACCGGGTTGGATATCCACTTCGGGTATACGACCTCTCTGATGAAACCACTGCGGTCGAGTTTGCTTACTTCGTCTTTCAGTGCCTCGTACCGTTCCGGATTCAGCGCGCGTCTCTTCTGTCTACGGGGGGCATAGGAGGGGTTGATGTTAAGGTGATGGCAACTGATCCTGGGATCTATCCCCACCATATCCTCATGTTTCCATGCGAAGACATCTAGGTTTTCTTTCAGGAATCGTATCATCTCAATTCTTGCTTCAGGCGATAATGACTTCCCTATGCGCAAGACTTGATTGGGGTCTTCTGGATTGACTGGAAAAATCTCCAGTTCTTCCATTGGGGTCGCGTTTGATTCATAATCAATTATTCGGGGGTCTAACTCGTCAAGAGGGTGTCCTTGTTCAGGAGCCTCTTCCATTATGACATCTTCCTCTTGTTCAGAGGTATGCCCCTGTTCAGGGACGTCGAGCATCTCCACATCCGTACCGGTTTCAGCGGGTACTGCTTGAATTACATTGACAGTCCGGGGCTCCGATTTTCAGATAGCATGCCCTAGAGCTCATCTGATCGCCCCGGACCGTTGCAATCCCTCGTTTGGTTGGGAATTTCATGCACAGATAGTGAATGGACGTCACAGCCCAAAGGTCTTTTAGAGCCGATCTACCCAACACCCCATGATAAGCTGACCTATGATCTACCACCAGAAATTCCATGAAATGCTGGGCGACCAAGGGGGCCGAGCCCATTTCCACAGGCAGGGTAATCCGCCCTCGTGGGATGATGCTGTCCCCAGTGAATCCGAACAGCGGGTCGATCATGGGGATTAACCCATGTTCAATTTGCATTTTGTCAAAAGTGGAGCCAAACAATATGTTCACGGAGCTGCCGTTGTCAACGAGC